GGACAGATCTACAAGACTCACTACTGTAGGCTTGACATTGGGTACCGCTATCAAGGGAACGCGTCCACAAACATGACGAGAGGAGTAGTTCTTGTGCAGTTTAGCTACGAGAAACACGGGCTACCGTTGTTTGTGCTCAGCTCAGCCGACCACAGGTTGGGGGTTCGACTATCACAACAGCAGTCGAGAACATTTGGTACAAAATACTCCAGGCGCCGTGAAGCGCATATCGACGATCCCAAAGTGCAAGATGCATGTGTTGGTGCAACACGGCAGCTACTTCGTGCAGTGAACTCACGGGGGATATTGTTTCGCAGTGCCGCTGTACCCAGCTGTGGGTGGTGCAATATGGTTACTGCTACGATGCTACAGCAGTACAGCTGTACACCGAAAGCACCGCCAAGGTCATGTTCGGCTGTGCAACACACCGGTGTAAATGTAGCTACTCTGAGCACTTGCCCTCACGTTAGGACTGAATCGCCCATACAGAAAAACAGTACATATTGTAAAAGCAAATAGCGCGTGCGCCGGAAACTGGGTGCTTGATGGAGAGCTGTACCCACGAGAGCTGGTAGGGCAACCCAGACCTGATGCGACACCCGACTTCAACGGCCCCACGCCCAACGCACTCGAGCCGACCTGACGGTCTTCGATTCAAAACAGATTGCGCGCACCTGGATGATGGTTGTGACGATGGTGCTGGTGCAGCGAAACGACTGCTGGCTGCTGCCGCACATCAGCGGCCCCCTGGCCATTGCTGTGGTGGTCGTCTTCTTTCCCTACGACACTGTCACCCGCAGCAGTGGGCGAGGAGCTACTGCTGTCCTTCCTGTCTCCGGCCTGTTGGGGCTGAAACACGGGAGGGCTAGTCTGGCTCATGCACAGCGGCGCCACCGGCCGCCTTCCCGCCGCTCGCCACGCGCGCTTTTGCAACCCCCCACCCTGCATCCCCAGAGAAACGCGGCTTGCGAGAGTCGCCGTCGCGCTCGTCGTCAGCCCAGCCCCGCGTCGGCCGGAGGCGCAGTCCTTGATCGACCCAATGTGCGTGGTTGCCCCCCCCCCCGCTGTCGCTGTCATCCTCACCGTAGCAGGAGAGGATGCTAGTGCAACACCGCCACGCCTTCGGCCGCTGTTGCAGTACTGCGACCGGAACGGATCGGCCGGTGGGTTGGCCGGTCGTGCATCCGGCCGCAGGGCGGCCGTGTGCTTTATCGGGCGCAGGATCAGGAGCGTCGTCCCGGCAACGACGGCCATGCCTCGCGATACGGGGCGGCCTCGCCTCATCGACCCTCCATGCTCATGTTCGGGGAGACGACCATCCAGGCGATCGCGCCGTGGCTTGTGGCATGGTGGCATAGGGTCACGGTCGCTGGTACCGCGGAGCCCTAACTCTGGCGCTTTTCAGCCCGTTTACCTCAAGGCCTGCACTCTGCCCGGCCTTGACGTAGAGCATAGAGAGGCAGCAGAGCGAGCACAAGAGCAAGAGCAGCTGGAGAGAGAAAAAAAAAGAAAAGAAAAAAGAGTTGTACGATGGCAGGAAGGGATTTTGGTACATTCCTTCACCGAACGTGTAACCGTCGCTTTTTCTCTCGTCAAACGTCTGGCGGGTGCAGCGTTAGGGCGTGCTGCGTGGTGCTGAACACGAGAGAGAGAGCGAACGAGAGAGCGAGAGAGAGTGTGTGTGTGTCGCATGCCAACGCTGTTGGAAGAAGCAGAAGATGATGAATCACGACGAAAAGGGTGCAGCCCTCGGAGGGCCGGTACCGGCGGTCGTCGTCGAAGTGCCCAGCACGGCGGTCACACAGCCACAACAACCGCATGTGGTGTATGTTGTGCAACAGCAGCACCCCCCCGCAGTTCCCCCAGTCAGAGTAAACAGCGGCATGGAGTGTTGTTACCCGGTGAGTCAATTGTGTTTGCAGACACAATACAATCCTGCACGACTGCCTTCCCGTATAGTAGTGCAGTGTGTACTACAACATGTATGTATGTTACGCTCGCCCTGTTGGTGACGGTATCGAGACTCAATGCCGTACCGTGTATTGTGCACATACCAGCAGTTTATGCGAGACTCAATGCTGTGCCGTACAGTACACATACCTGCAGTTTATGCATAGTCTACAAGTTATGCTTGCAGAGACATGCTCTTCCACACGAACAGCACAAACTGTTTCAACACATGTAGATCAGTTTGCAATATTAGACGCTATACAATAGGGACGCATATATTACCGCTGTGTAGTACATACAATATGTAAATAGTAATAACAAGGCGCCTCAATACACGTAATACCTCTGTCTCCTCCTCCGTTTAGTTGGTTGGTCGTAAAATATCTGCAATTCGTGAATCTCTCGTCCGCGCCGCATTTCCCTCGATCCACCCCCCGTTCATATCCAGATAACGATGGCCGATCCAGTTGAAATGGTTCGTGCGCGCAACGTGGCCATTTTCCACGTGTGCGCGGAAGCTACGGCGATACTGTTTTGTCGGTCGGAATGGTGTGTCATTGCTGTTTTGTTGGGGATCCCTTCGTCAAGCGTGGTTGCGTGTTGCTGCAAGCAACGCGAGACTTTTCTGGTGTGGGGCCTGATCGGCGCCGCGGTAGCAACCCTTCATGCAAAGGCTGCCGTGGCAGAAGCTGCCAGTGACAACGACGATGCCTTCTTGTATCTAGCCCAGATCATGATGTGCGTCATCAGTTTGCATGTCGTTTTCTACGGTTACAAGGTAAATTCATTGATGGGAGGGCCAATTTTTCCGTTAGGGGTGCAGCAAGTAGAACAGGTGGAGGGAACTCGGATATACCCGCCCACGGGGTTTGCCAACGCGCAGGCTAGCTCGCCGGCGCGAAGTTGACGGCCTAACACGCGACTAGCTGCGCATAATTGATGCGTTTCCGAACAGTAGGCCCTACTACAAATACGTACGAAGTCTTCGAAGTACATCGTATTTGGTGGTACGTGAGCACAAATCCAGCGCCTCCTAAAACACAGGCACTGCCGTAAGATATGATTCTCGTTGTCCTCGAACCTTGGAAGCTCGATGTTGACTATCACATAAGTAGCGACCGAAGCGAACGTCCCGCACAAGACAGTTTCGGGATTCGTCCGTTTTCGCCCCATCTCCATTGAGAACAGTCACGCAGAGCACGTTTGTTCCGGGTCGGAAATTGTTTGCCTCCCAAACAGATTATCTGGTGTACTGACGTTGACAACAGCAGGAGGTCCAGAAGACAACCAACTTTGGTGCACGCACAGGCGCGGTGTCGCACGTACAAGTACGAGGAGATCTTCAACGATTGCTTGTGGCAGTGGTGTCCGTGCGTTTCGGCTGTTCTTCTCGCGATCTCGACGTCAAGAACGCTCGTGGGCCTTGTTGCAGGCAACGTCAGGCGTACAATTTGTGGAGTTTCGCGGGCGGTCCCTTATTTTTCTCACGATGTCGTTTATAATTGATCGAGGCTGTCCCTCGACTAAGCAGTTTGATGTTGTACTTGAAGTATCATATAGCGCAGACCTTGTTGTGTCTACTACTGTAACGGATCCGACATGCAGTACAATGGGATAAGGGTTGCTTCGTTCTCAATAAAACCATGTTATTCGTAGAAATGGTGGTGAGCATGCAGGCAGGGTATCGCTGCGAAGCCGTCTCAGTGAAGCCTAAGAACCCGCCCGATAGCGTCGTTGGTGCACAGAGTCCCAGGCCTAGAAATTATGTGCACGTACAACTTGTATTGTGTGTGTGGCAATGAGTGGACCGGCACCTGCTAATCTTGGAGAATGCAGTGCAGCCACCAGTATCGTCAACGGTGATGAAATTGGGAGTTACGGTTTGATCAGAGCCAGACGCCAATGGTGCCCCTTTTCTTGGACTTTAGAAAGGAAGGGATAGTGGTGTCCCCGTTAAGATTTAACCTCCATCAGCATGACAGCAATTCTCCCGAGGCAAGGCCTTTATGACCAAGGGTGATGTATGTATGGAAAAAGTAGGGAACGAATGTTTTTGTAGTCAACAAGTGGTGCAAGAGAGTACGCCACACTCCCTGTTGCCCCCTAGGGCGCTACCAATTTACAGAGACTTCGGCTCGTTCGCTCTACGTTGTTCCCGGCAGGTGCAACGTTTCTAGCATCCTTTCCCTGCAGACTTGACTGCCCCACTCGGAACTTCAAACGAACAGCTTCTTACCCGTAGGACTCTCACCCAACAACTGCGCTACACATATTCTCATCGAGTGTCGAGCACATTCAGCTGTGCTCGACCTACACAACAGTGGTGGCCACTCGTCGGCAACTGAATGTTCTTCGATATGACAGTTGTTATGTCATTCTTCGCCTTGCCATCACACAGTCACTAGCCCACGCACGTTTCTAGCGAAGTTTCGTTATTCGCTCCCTAACGCCAGCACGGGCACCCGTCAACGTGCGAAAGGTAAACCCCAAGCCGCCAACCCTGGCGAAAGACGCCCACGGTCCACAACAAGAGGTTTGCATGTAACGGAAAAGAATCGGCTACAACGGAATACTGCACGTTTCCTCATGCCACAAGTTTCTCCCACCGTCAGCCACTGTTGACCGCATCGCGGGGAATGAAGACACCCAAACCGATGGGTTCTGACACTAGGGGATGTCGTGTCACACAAAGATGGCAAGCTGAGCACGAGATAAACCACCGGAGTATTGCTTTCGGTTCATCAGAAAGTTCTCACGCGGGCTCTTTGACCGGTAAACAGGACGGACCGTAGAGACTCAAAGGTCCGACTGCGTAAAGCGGATGCGACGGAGGCTCTACTACTGCGGATGCAGGACACACCCACCTGCTACTCCTGCGATCCATCTGTATATATATACCGCCGCACGCGTCGTGCATAAAGACAGCTCTCGTGCGCCCAGACTGTAAAGAAGGCCGAGTGGCAACACCTTGAAGCCACTGTCGGACAAGGGTGGCTGCTGTTCGCAGGAGCGATGAGCAGATAACCGGACGGACGACTGGAGGAGATTAATGTTTTCTCGAATCTCTTGGGGGGGGGGGGGGGTCGAGGCATGGAGCCGCCCGAAGTAAACTGGGAGTGCCTGCGGGACGGCTTTCCTTCGGAGCTACAGACGAAGGTACGGAAGATGTCGATGAAGATTCGGAGGTCCTGACGCCTTTCGAATCTTCGCAGCGAAGGTGCCGGGGCGGGTGCGGCGGGGAGGCAGAGAGGATCATGACCTCGCGGCATAATGATGAAGAGCAGCCACAGTGGGTTTCGTGTGTCAAAACGGGACCGCAACGCGCTCAACACGACTACCGCACTGCCTACTTCACTGGGGGTAGAGCGTAGCATGTGATAGTATGAGGAGGAGCGCAGGAGGGAGACGGTAGAACGTGTTATAGTGCAAGATATGTGCCGGACTGAATGTGACCTCTTGTGATAGGAATCCGCCATTTGCCTCCAAGTCATTTCCGTCGCACCCCCGATGTAGCGTGTATTGCTCGATGCTTCTTGTATTTTCTGTCGTGCAAAGTATGTTCAATTCCCAGCTAGATGCCGTGTTATTTGTCGGCATGCAGTGGGGGGTGAGAGTTGTAAGCGAGAACCTGGCATGGAATCCTCTGGCGTTTTCGAAAAATGTGAGCGTCCTGCTTGTTGGTTATCACGGATGATGGAACATACAGGTATCACCTGTGCCTAATTCATTTTGAGTCTCCCACATATTGTATATATGTACGGAGAATAGCATGGCCGGGGGGTGCAAACCAGGTGGTGAATACACTGCTACGATGGGAGGACGCGAAAAAAGTTGAAAATCATTCGAGTTCGAGTTTTTGCTTCCTTGAGTTTCGTGATCTTGGTTGTATTCGACTGTTCGTACTTTGCTGGCTTGGCGTGTCGAGCGGGCTCGATGCGCTCTGTGTATCGATTTCCTACATCGATTTCATGTGTCCGAATTGTCACCCGCTGCAAAGTCTGAGTGTTTGGGGGGCAGGCTCTGGTTTGCAATGCTGTCAGTCATGTTGTCGTTTGTGTTGTTGTTCTCTGGGTCCCCTTGTAGTCTGGTCAACGTAGCCTATTGACGCGTATTTTTTCAACATGAACATACAGATTCTTTTTTGGGTAGTTGGCCTGTTACCACGGAAGGCGTCCTCGCCAGTTAGACCAGGTACGGAATGTCACTAGGCAGAGATCAGAACGGTCGTTGATGGCAATAACGACAAACCAGCCACTCCGCGGGTAGAGTCGGGGTCGCCAAACAGCTTTCCTCTCGCTGACGCCCCCACTTTCCCTGGTTGCAATTGGCATGTTTTTGGGTGAGATGGATGGTGTGCGTTTCACATTACTGAACATACCGCCTCTCCATTACTTCCATTCATCACGTCCATCGGGAATATACCTGGCAGCATGTTTGTACCGCAGGAGAATACAGGTCCTGTATTGTATGGTATTTTCCCGGTCGGTCGCGGAACGAAAGTTCTTTTTGAAATCTACGGTCTGCGGTATATCCGAAGCATGCTTGGAGATATGGAGTAAAAACATTCCAAGGTGCAGCCCTCTATCTTCTGCATCTACCCCGAAACAACAGCAGGGGGTATGGTTTAGGCCCATGCAGGTCGAAGGCCCGAGCATGTGCAGATACACACTGCAGTACAACCACCGCTCTGGCCTGCTCGTTGATTTTGTCGCACCATGGTGGCTCCGCAACAGGAAGATATCTCCCTCCCATCCCATGGCAAATTCAATCGCGTGCCCCCTTTGAGGTCTGCGCGGTGGCTTGCTGTGGTGGTGCGTTTTCAAACGCCCGCGCAAACAACCCACGTAGCTCCTTATTGAGACGGAGAAAGGAGGATACCCGCGTATTCCCTTGCTTGGTGCAGAAGGGGTTGCTGTGCGTGCGTGCATTTGGAGAAAACATTACGGTAGGGGAGAAGAGAGAGAGTGGGCGAGAGCGAAGCGTGTGAGAGGGGGAGGCACCGATATTTTACTTTGTGGGTGAGAGTCGCGGAAACAGGATGGACCTCGTGACGCTGCTCGGCAACTGCCAGAATCCCGGTGAGGTCAAGCCTGACTTGATTGCGCGCAGATGGTTTCTGGTGCCCCTCCTTATTTGCTGGTTGCCTTGCTGGCCGCAAGGGGCGCCTTCGTTGCACTTGCTTTTTTTCCAAGTGGGGGGCGAACCGCATATGTTCCCAGAGAAAATATCCCTGCGGCCACACCTGTTTCATACGTGTTTTTAGTGTAGAAACACTGCACAGCAGGTGCACACAGCCGACGTGGAGGGGGATATCACCACGCTCCCCCACTGCAATTAAGACACTGCTGCTGCTGTGTCGCAGGCGTGCGCGCCGGTGTATCCCCAAGCCTGTTACCGATCGCGCGAAAGCCCGTTGCTCCATATCGGGGGCGATGCACTAAATACTTCGACTGCCGTTCAAAATGGTGGGTTGCTGGTGGCATGTTCATCCCTGCCACCTCGCGCTCACTCCCGCCGGCTTGCTACCTTGCGGCGTTGCAAACGTTTGCCGACCGCCGCTCCTTGAATGAACGACACAGACCATGCCACGCGAAAGCAAGCGGAAGATGCCCTCGAGCAAGCAGGCAACAGCAACATGGTGAGTGTGTGTGTGCGGCAGCCGCAAAGCTGCAACAAGCCGGCCGCTGTTTTCGGAATGTTCGTCGGCATTGTCGCCCGTGTCGCCGTTCGGACAAAACTGCAAACGGTACACATAGCCCTATGATGTATATTGAGAGCCAGGGATCATGCTTGCTTCGAGAACTGGCCGCGCAACTTAAGCGGGACAAATCCTTTGTATGGCGTCTACGCAGTCTGCCCCCATTTCGCTCGGTACGGGATCATTCACTTCCAAGGGGGGGGCAAAATGGGGTATTGTAGCAGCAAATATTGCGCACTGCACACACACTGCCGATTCGCCAAGGGGACGGACGGCGGTGGTGTATTGTGTACTTGTGTACCCCGTGCCCTCTTTCCAAGGCGCTCTTGCAGGCTTACATGTGGTAGTATACACTGCTGTCGGGTGTTCCGGATCACATATATACACCGGACCAAAAGCAGCCGTTCACCAACCGCAGTGCGACGTCTCGAGCATGCTGTCACTCGATCCCAACTCAGGCCTTGTTGATGTCATGACTTTGTTGATATCATGACTTTGTTGGTATCATCATATCATGACAATGCGGTGAGGAGGGTGCTGCTGCGCCGCATCGCGTCTTGCGACCATTTTCTCGCCCAAGTAGCCTTGCCGCGCCTCCCGCGGCTGCTGTGCAATCCCCCCGCGGACACATATCTCCTCGCAAATGTTAGAAGTCAGGTATTCGACCGTAAGTCACTTGTATCTCGTACTGTGTTGCTCCTTTTTCCCGGCCCCGGGCCTAATGCGACCATTATTTCAATCGTTTTCTTTCCGAAACAACCTGCTGTGGCGCCTGTTGTCTCATGTTGCCGTCCGAAATACCCCAGCAAAGAGTGCGCTCTCTTTTTCATTTCCGACGGCGTCTCAAAAGCTCAGAAGCGTAGACACGTTGCCCGTGATCCCTTGCCATCAACCGGCACCAGCTCACTACTGCTGTTCCAAAATAACGCATGCGGTGACCCCCCCCCCCCCCCCCCCACTACTATTTACCACACGAAAAAACACAGGGCGAGCTGATGCTCCGGTTGGTTGTGGAGCTCGCCAACGAGCAGCAGAGCGAGGTGATCCGGCAGCAGGCCGGGCTCTACATCAAGGTGCAGCTCAGCGCTGAGGAGGAGGCTATCCGTGCGCACAAGCTGCAGCAGTGGGCGATGCTCGACGAAGCCACGAAGGCGCAGATCAAGGCCGGCTCCATGCAGGTTCGTGTGTGTTGTGTATTTTTTTAGTTTGCTTCGACTGCGCTGTGACCCGCTGACGAAGTGGGAGTGTGTGTGTGTGTTGTCTTTTTTACTGGCATTCGCCGCGCTAACCGGCTGACCAATGAAAAGACGTCAGTCTCAGTGCGGTTGAAAACACACAACAGTGTGTGTGTGTGTGTTCTCTTTTTTACTGGCATTCACCGCGCTAACCGGCTGACCAATGAAAAAACGTCATTCTTAGTGCGGTTGAAAACACACAACAGTGTGTGTGTGTGTTCTCTTTTTTACTGGCATTCACCGCGCTAACCGGCTGACCAATGAAAAGACGTCAGTCTCAGTGCGGTTGAAAACACAAAACACTGTGTGTGTGTGTGTGTGCTATTTTCACTGGCATTGAGCGCAGTAACCGGCTGACCAATGACGTGTGGGTGGGTTCGAATTTGCGTTGACGGCGCTAACGGGTTGACCAATAGAAAGACGTCAGGTTATATGTAGCGGGATAAGAAAATGCTTTAACACCCTTTCTCATGAGAAAGGGTTCTACCGACGGGGGAGGTGCAACGTGTGCGTGTGTCGTGTGTCTTTACTATCACTGCTGTAGCATCCACCGTGCTATCCGACTGACCAATGAAAAGACGTCAGTCTCAAGAGCGGCGTCAAAGGGAGAACGCTTCTAATGGAGCATGGTCTGGGACCCCGTGAGGGACGGCGGCATGGGGGAAGCTATTGCCCCGAACGAAAGACACAAATGTTGTGTGTGTACATGTGTTTTATTGTTAGCATCGAGCGCGATAGCCTGCTAGCCATTCACAAATCGGTCTCCGTGTGGCCGAGAAGGGAGAAACGATTCGAAAGGCCGTGGTCGGGGGGGGGGGGGGCGTAAGTGCATGTGTATTTTTATTGGCATCGACCGCGCAAACCGGCTTCCTGATGAAGACGTCAGTCTCAAGTCGGAGGAAAGCACATGCGTGTATGTGTGTGCTGTTTGATGCATTTTCATCGACCGCACTATGCCGGTCATCCCATAGAACGACCTCGGTCTTACAGCAGGGCAATACGGTAACCCAGCACGTTTTGCTGGTGGGACGGAAGGCACCATTGCGGTTTGTTTCCATCCAAGTCCCACGGAATGATTTCCCAACCATTTGTGTCTCCTCTACATACTGCCCACCGGTTGTCACTTGTGCTAACGGCTGCCGTGCTTCTCGTATTGCGTGGCTTCGAAATCGCGTTTTGTCTGTTTCGTGCACGTATCTCCGCTGGGTGCCTACCCGTGGCCATGTGTATCGTGCTAACTGGTGCTGTGTTTCTCATTTGTGTGGTTTTAGTGTATGGTTTACATCCACCCTTTGGTCTGTTTCATGCACGCGGTCGCCTGCCTGTCCTTGCTGTGCAGACTCTACACTCGCCAGTTGCTGGTCCAAGGTCGACGGCTGCTCTTATCGTCGGGAAGATGGGCGCAATCGAGCTGCCTCAGGTAGGAAGAGTCATGGTATCGTGTAGGGCAAAATGAAGAACAACGGACGCATGAAACGAAATCACGCTAAGAGAAGACGCACGTCACTAGATGATTCATTCATGGCGCACCGCAGCACCCGTCTGTGTAGCGTGTGTGTGTTCTGAAAGTTTTTGGCTGGTGTTTCGTATTCTCGGCAGAACGTGAGATGCGCGTCCCGATGGGGAGAGCCGAAGGCAGCATCTGATTCGCAGGCGCAGGAACAATCAAGCCGTATTTTTCGTATCTACCGTCGCGTATTTTCGTCTCCTTTTTTTATGGCCGTGCTTATCACACTTTTCGACGTTGTGTCGAGTAGGACCCGTCTTTGCCTGCAGGGTCTCGCGGATGTCCTCGTGGTGGTGTGCTGCACCTGTGTTTTGGTTGGCTTTGCGTCTGCGTCTCCCTCCCCTGTTACGGGTCACTATTTGGTTTGTGACAACCAGTCCTGTTGTTCTCCCTCTCTCTCTCTCTGTCCCGATTGCACACGCTCAAACACCCACACGTATCCCCGCGGGCGCTTCGCAGGACAAGTGGCCTGAGTTACTCCCCACCTTGCTGGGCAACGTCACCGGGGAATTCGAGGAGAGGGTCAAGGTGGCCACGCTGCAGGCGCTGGGCTACATGTGCGATGACGTGAGTCCTCCTGCCCTAGCGACTTTGCTGTCAAGTTTTTTTTCTTGAACAGCGGAATGTTGTACTGTTTTGTGCCTCGGCGCTGGCCCGTGGCGTGTCACATATCGTTTACAGAAACCCCCCCTTTTTTTTTTGCTGGAACGATGAACAACTACGTTCATGTGCCCAACCAATCCTCTGTCCCTTGACATGTCACGCATGGTATACAGCAGCCATTGTTTTTGTTTTCTGGGACGAACAGCTACGCTCATGTTCCAGATGACCCTCTTGCTCGCCTCGACGTGTCACATCTTATGCATATCCAGAAGCCATTTTTTGTGCTGCCACGACAAACAGCTACGCTCATGTTCTTAACGAACCCTCTGTCCCTTGACGTGTCACGCATGGTATACAGCAGCCATTTTTTTTGTTTTCTGGGACGATGAACCACTACGCTCATGTTCCAGATAATCCTCTTCCACGGCCATACATTGACATACAAGCACAGAAAAATGTTCCCGTTCGAGAGATAGGCAACCTTCTTTTTTTGCTATATTTTTGTGATGGCAGTGGGAACCCGAGGACATGAACGAGGGGCAATCGAACCAGATCCTGACGTGCATCGTTGACGGGATGAGGCCGGACAGGCCACCGGCTATCCGCGGGGCGGCGGCCCGGGCCCTGATCAACTCGCTCGACTTTACGAGGAGCAACTTCGAGACACAGCAGGAGCGCGACGTTATCATGCAGGTGCGGTTTGGACAGCCGTAGGTTTGTAGCCCCTGGTGGCGTGGCAATCCGTGTTCCCTGTACCACGGGGTTAGTTACCGTTGCGGTCGTCATTGTTGTTGTCCTAACACTTGTGGGTCACAATCCAACCGTGTATGTTTCTCTCTCGTCCGTTTGTTGGTTGCAACACTTGGCTTCCTCTCGTTGACATGACCTTGATCAAGGCCACCATCTGACGAGGACGAGAACGAGTGGATTCCCTCTTCTCACACCGTTTTTTTTATTTTCCTGTCAGGTGGTGTGCGAAGCGACCCAGTGCGCCGACGCGAACGTCCGGAAAGCGGCGTACGAAGCCATCTGGACGATCGCCACCCTCTACTACGACCGCCTGCAGGCCTACATGCAGCCCCTCTTCGAGCTGACGCTGGAGACCATCCGGAAAGATCAGGAGGACGTCGCTCTCAACGCCATGGAGTTCTGGAGCAGCCTCTGTGACGAAGAGGTTTGGCTCCTCCCCCCCCCCCCCCCCTTTTTTGTATGCATGCGAACGTTGATTTGGTGCCTTTTTTTGTTTTGCATGTGTTTTTTTTTTTTGCCTGAAAGTTGGCTCCTGTGTTGTTTCTTGTTAATTTTTTCGACCAAGATTGTCATGCCCGCTGCCCTAATTTTTTCCTGTTGCTTTGTTTAAGGAGAGCCCCGGCCGCCACAAGCGGTGATGTTAAATTAGTTTTGTTCTTGGCGGTGGCGGAAGAACAACAGACCAGGATATAAGAACAATTATGCCCTCCCGCCCCTCGGCTTGTTTGTGTTGTTTTCTCGTTGTGCAGCTTGAGATCATGGACGAAAACGCCTACGAGAGGGAGCCCGGGACCTCCCGGGTGTCTCAAAACTACGTGAAGCTGGCCCTGAAGTCGTTGATGCCGGTGGTGCTGGAGACACTTTCCAAGCAGGATGAGGACAGTGCCGACGACTTGGAGCACTGGGATCTCGGTACGTCACAGGCAACGGGGAGGGGAGAAGAAGCGCAGTAGGGGTCCCTGTTTGGTGCTGGCACCGTAAGGTTGCGAGTCAGCGCACAGGGGTGCGAACGACTTTCAAAGCGCAATTTCTCCACGACCAGGAGGTTACCACTGTCGAAAAGGGCGGTTTTGGAAATGTCTCATGGAGAGCTTTCCTGAGAGGTATCAGTTGGCGCTCGCACCCTCCTGGTTGTGGAGAAGTAACGTTTTGAACATCGTTCGCACCCCCGTGTGCGCTGACTCGCAACCTTACGGTATGTGCCCAGAAATTCCACCGGTACTATACCCGACACCGGTGCTATTCACAACAGGGATAGTGCCATATAGGTTTTCGTATAGAAGTGGACGCTCATGCCCAGAGATTTGACCGGCACTAGATAGGGACCCCTTACCAGAGTTGTAGCGCGTAGGCCGGTACGAACGGAGGAGAGGGAAGGGCTAGGCAGGCGGAGATACTGTAGGGGGTGCGGGACACACGTTGGTAGGGGGGATGTTAAACGGGGCATATGTGCACATGCGCTCAAGCAGGAGGGTTTTGTCATGCAGTTTGCGTGTCATTGGAGTAGTACTGTACCTCGGTAGGACCGCTAAAGTGACAGAGTTGTGCCAACCCCATCGAAGTCAGCGAGGCGGAAAACAATCCCTGGCGGGTGTTCCACCCCTTGTGTCCGGATTCTAGTTCTGCTTTTGGCAAGAAAGAGCCTGGTCGTCCCTACCTCAGAGCACAGACCCTAGACGACTAAATCACTCGTAGAACCTCCCTGATTGTATCACAACCCTCTTTTTATTTTTTTGTCCATCGGTTTTATTCGGCACCCCAATAGTTTCTGGTGGGTACAGAAAGGTTCCTCTCCTGCGGCGCTTGCCTTCGATTTAAAGAATATGAAATCACAGCTTTAACCTACCTACCTCCCCCCCCCCCGCCTTCGAATCATATTCTCAGCCAAGGCGGGGGCGACTTGCTTGCGGCTCATCGCGCAGCTGGTGGATGACGACGTGGTGGACCAGATGGTGCCGTTTGTGACGGAGAACATCCAGTCGGCCAACTGGCGGCAGCGCGAGGCGGCAGTGATGGCCTTCGGGGCAGTGCTCGAGGTGAGAGGTGATGTTGCGATGCTTGGAGGTGATCTCTGGTCTTGGCTGTCCCTCCGTTCGGTTGCTTTCGTTATTGTTGTTGATTTGTTGATGACGATGCTCTTGTTGCTGATGGTGTTGTTGTCGTCGTCATGGCTTTTGTTGTTGTTGTTGTTGCTGCTGATGGTGTTTTTGTCGTCGTCGTCGCCCTTGCTGTTGATGATAATGATGCTCTTGTCGTTGTTGGTAAAGGGGGGGGTGCTCTTTTGTTGTTGTTTCTGCTGTTTTTGTTGAGGATGATGATGATGATGATGTTGTTGTTATCGTCGTGTTTGGCATTGGAAGGAGTTTTGACCCCTCTACCCGCCGCGTCCTTTTTCTTTTTTTTAATCTTCATAGCTGTTGTCACCGGGCTTGACGTTGTGCGGCGCCTTGACCCCTCTACCGTGTTTTAAGTTGTGCCGTCATGTGATGATGTGTCGGTGCGGCATGACGGTGTCGGTGCGGCATGTGATGATGAGTCTCGTAGTCGACGAAACCTCACGTACGGGTGGTTGGCCAACGTGTCTGGTAGTTACTTGTTGGCGAAGGGGATACAAGAGTCCCACGCCTAGTTCTCAGCACGTCTCTCCCGTCTGTTTTTTTTTTTTTCATCACTGGTGCCCCCCCGCCGCTTTGCTATTAGCCGTTTGTTCAGTCTTGAGCAGCTCTTAAGCGTGTGCACTAAGCCTCATCTCTCCGCATCACCACATCCAAGTGTATCTTTCTCGTTAACCTCATGCCACTACATCATTGCTGCCGTCGTGACGTACCGTATCGATCGCCAGGGGCCTACCGTCGAGAAGCTGTCCCCCCTGGTGCAGTCGGCGATGCCGATCCTCATCGGCCTGATGCGCGACCCTCACGTCATGGTGAAGGACAGCGCTACCTGGACCATCGGGAAGATCTGCGAGCTGCACGGTACGCTGAATAGCACCAGACATGACGAGATCTCGACTACGAGTACGGGTGGCGTAGTCATCGTGGGACCCGCGATTCCCGTCGCGTCTTGTCAAGGCACTTAGTGCCAAGTCAATATCTAGCGATTCTCGTCGCTCAACCCTGTGTATCATTCACGTGCCCTCGTTGCAGGCACTGTCGGACACGTCACGGTCCACTCGAGCCAGCCGTAAGCGCTCTTGTTTTCCGAGCAATCTGCCGTTTTTTCCAAGTAGCGTTCCCCTTGTGACACCTGCTGATAAAGTCAGATATCTACACCGAAAAGCGCATAGGCTGGCGCCAGATTAGATAACACCACACGCATGTGGTATATTTATTGCCAAGACAACAACGACACTTGCACTTTTTTTTTTTTCGTCAAATGCCGCGTTTTCAGGTCCCTCCATCCCTGCGGACGTGCTCACCCCGCTGGTGGAAGCCCTGCTGCTGGCGCTCAAGGACACTCCCCGGGTGTGCTCCAAGGCGTGCTTCGCGCTGCACAACTTCGGGGACCAGTTCGAGGACAGCAGGGACGCCGAGACCAACGCGCTGTCGCCGTACCTGACCGCCCTCGTGCAGGAGTTGCTCCTGGCGACCCAGCGGGATGACGGTGAGAGGTTGGTTGTGTGGGCAGTAGTAGTAGAACAGGACTGATGTGTGCAGGGCCAGCCAGGAAAAGCGCAGGCCGGCGGACGGTGCCGATTGGTCCACCTGTTGCATTTGGGACAATTTGGACGTCGATGTTTTGTCTGTCATAGGAGCTTGTTTTGTTTTTGCGTGTCTGGACGCCCTTGTGCAAGAGCTTCTCTTGTGGAGGGAAGGCGTAACGTGTCACGTACGAGATCAAAAGAGCTTGGCACTGCTCTACCTGGGTGCTGTTGACCGCGCGAGGGTTCAAGCTTGTCGACGTTCGACATGTATGCTTCTCAACTATGTCACGACGTGAGAAACTAACCAAACAGCCCGTGTGTCATGTGTTGTTCCGGGTTATCGTTTGTTTCCCATCATGGGAGTTTTTGTAACGAGGCTCGGGCAACAGTGCAGAAGCGATTCTTACGCATCCGTCTCAGAACGGGGGGCGCAGCAGTAGCAATAAACACGAACGGAGTGTAGTAGGCTTTCGGCCTCGTGCGGACCGCGTTTCCTTCAGTACACCGCTGTGTTGCTGAACGCGGCCGGCTGTCCGTCTCACCCAGACTACCGTACCGTCTGACTGGCCGCGAGCATCACAAGGCCAACCCCCCAACTCCCGCCTCCCTGACAAAAAACAACAGATTATCCAGCCAGTTAGTTTTTGTCCCACTCACTGTTAAGGCTTCAACCCACCCCCCTTCGACTTGTGCTGTGGTTGTATCTCGAACGGGAATCATTTCTGCGGTGGTTGTTGTTGTGATTGTTGTATTTTCGTGACAACCGTTCCGATCTCTATCCAGCACCTTAATCTGTCCGTGCTGAACTGATGGTGTATTTTCTTCAAAAAATAACGTATTGTCGCGACAGGATCCGATGCGAACTTGCGCAGCGAGGCGGTAGAGGCCATGAACGTTCTCATCAAGAACTCTGCGCGGGATATGGTGGAGGTAGTGCGCTCGACGCTGCAGGTGGTCTTGTCGCAGCTGGAGCAGTCGTTCTCCGCGCCCGTGCTGACGGCGGAGGACCGCGATAGGTTGCAGGGGCTGCAGTCGCTTCTTTGCGGCAACCTGCAGGTGTGGTGTTTATGCTTTGGGCGTGTGATGTTCATGTGCTTGTGTGTGCGTGTTGTTCGTTGGCGTCGACCGCTCCAACGGTCTGGGCAATGAACAGGGACGCTGCGTTCTTGATCAAATCCGATTACTTTTGTGTCCCGCGCATTTTGTATCCCTCTGTTAGTTGATGGTGGTGTATTTTTTCATCGGTGCTTTTGGTGTGCGTGCGTTCGCATTGTGTGTGGTTGTCTCAACCGCTAGTCGACCAATAAAATCATGTGTCATGCTTGTGTTTACTGTTAACGACAAGATGGACATGTAAGGGGAAAGCTACCCGTCTGGCCAAAGAAAATGCGCCCATCTCAGAAGAATATGGGAAACATTTCGGCTTTTCTTTTCTCTAATCATACCTTGGCTTTTCTTGCTTCTTTCCTTTTTTCTTTGTCGCACTTGTTCGTGTTTTTGCGGCATACGAAAACCATCGACCAACATGGACTGTTCCTACTACATATGATATGTATGACAGGTAATTTGCATCAAATTCGGGAAAGAGGTGGTACCGTACTCGGACCGCATCATGAACATTCTCGTCGAGGTGTTCAAGAACAAGCAGGCGGTGGCACAGGTGTGTAACGCTCTCTCTCTCTCTTCGTGCTGTTGCTATTTCTGTCGTGTTTTTTTTGCGTACATGGTACATCCAGCGTCGTGGAAATCTTATGCGAAGCTTTGTGTAGCTTTTCGACAAGCCGATTATGTCTGCCTTCCTTGTCCTCTCCCACTTGTGAATCAGCAACAGTGTGCTTGAACATGCACATGCGAGGGATGGATAGCGACAACGATGACCCATGTTCGTTGTTTTGCCTGCGTTTTTCCTCCCGCCCCCCCGCGCCCGGTGGCGGCCACGAGCAGACGGTTCCACCGCACTTGTTTCCGCGTGTTTCGTCCCTGCTTCCGCTTCCGAAACGCTAGCCTTTGACCTATGTAGAAGGCTTCAAATCTTGTGTCCTTTCCCAGCGCTGTTTTTTGCTTTTGTTGCCGCCTTGCACGACCACTTGCCTATTTTCTGGCTTTGATCATTCTTCTTTTCTTTTTTCTTTTTTGGGAGCAGGAAGAGGCGTTTATGGCTGTGGGTGCTCTTGCGGATCAGATGGAGAAGGCATTCATCAACTACATGGAGGCCTTCTTGCCGATCCTCACACAGGGGTTGTCCAACAACGCGGAGTACCAGGTGCAGCTCCTTCCGTTGCCGCTGAACCTGCTGCTATTGTCTTCGTCAGGGTTGATTTGATGGTTGGCTGCTGGTTTTGTTGTTGATCGTTGCTCCTCTCTGTTGTACGGTGATTGCGGCCGCCTGCAGTTGGCTTGATCGTGCTCTTGGTGTTGGTGTTGTCGATTGAAACTGTTGCTACTGAGTGTTGAGCATGTTAATCGTCAGTCGGCGTATCGCGCCGCTTTTTTTTTTTTTTTTGTGCCTTCAGCCCAACTGGGTCTGCACGAGGCGACCGTCAAGAGTAAGGCGTGTGATGGATGGCGTGCACAGAAATGAGAATGTACGCGTCCGCTGGTGGCTGATGGCATGGTCACTCGCAAGTCCGTGCTGCTGTTGCTGTTGATGTGATTGTCGATGTGTTGTAGTTGTTGTGGCTGATGTCATTTGTTGTGTTAGGCTGACTTTGCTTGGTTGGTGTTGATTCTGTTGCTGATATTGTTGCTTCCATGGGTCCTCAGGTGTGCATCGTCGCCACTGGGGTGGTGGGAGACCTCTGCCGTGCGTTGGAGAAGGACATCCTGCCGTACTGCGAGCACATCATGGTCTGGTTGATGTTCAACCTTGAGGGGGCCAACATCAACCGGTGAGATTTCCCTCCTGTGTTAGTTGCGTCTAGTAGCGGGGTGTGTATGCCGGGAGAGTAACGGACAGGTAGGAGCGGTCAAGAATGTACTTTCGTACATTTCTCTTTTTTTTGTGTGTCTCGTGTGTTTTTTCACCCCGTGTCGTTTCTGCTCTCTCGTCACCTCGATCCACGTTTGTTACTTTTCTCTCACAACTCACCACACAGACTACAAGTATCGCTCCTGGTATATCTGTCACCCTCTGCCTTTTCTTCATCGAATCCTGTTTCCCCCCTCCTCGGCCAGTGCATACGGTTGGTTGTCCTGTTGCCCTTGTGTTGTTTACTACTGTCTGCTATCTGAAGGCTTTCTGACCTGTTTCCCCCCACCCCCCACCCCCCCTCCTGCTGCTTCTTTCGTCCTCTCTCTCTCTCTGCTCTCTCTTCTCTCTGCTCGCTCTCTCTGCTCGCTCTCCAAACGTGGGGGGATCGTGTACGTGACCTGATGAACCAGGGATGTAAAGCCGGTAGTCCTGGCGTGCTTGGGAGACATCGCCCTCGCCATTCAGGGGGAGTTCCGGCACTACCTAGAGGTGAACAATCCAAGAGGGGCTGTCTTGGGTGAACAATAATGTCATTGCCAGGGGACAGAGTCGGGGTGGGCAGTATTGTTACTCCGCCTACCGCAAATGGGCGGAGGATCGTGCGTGTGCACTGCTGCAGTGCGTTCACCACCCTGCGAAGTCGGGGCATGTTCTCATAACTCCCGCAGTGCAATGCGAGTATAAGCTCGTTTTCCCCCATGTTGTTGTTGATGATGATGCTGTCCCCTGCGTTTATATCCGCTCTGAGCTCTTTTTCCCGATACATCCGCGAAGCCCTCCGAAGTTTAGAGACTAAAACAGCCATGGTAGCTGCTGACAGGCTCACGCAAAGAAGAGGGCCAACTCTCCTGCAACACGACTAATCACCTCTCCGCACGCCCATCAAACGATGTTGGTTGTTGTTGTTGTTGTCTGTGTGGCTTGTTGCAGCCGACGATGAACATGCTGGCACAGGCCCAGGGTGTCTGCGGCAGCACCGCCGGGCAGGACGAGGACATGGTGGACTACATCAACGTCCTGCGGGAAAGCGTGCTCGAAGCCTACTCCGGCATCGTTCAGGTGTGTCTTCAAGACGAAGAGTTGTAGATTCTACGTTTGACGCAACAACAGAAAGTAGCAGACTCTACGCTTACCGAACGGGTTGGTTGGGTGCTGCATCATCGGTACAGGCAACAATCAGCACTATTTTCTGTGCATATGCTGCGCGCGAAAGCTTTTAGTTGGCCGACCCGCCAGCAGGGACCCTCAGTCCCTCAATTGTCCCGGGTGCCCGGAGTATGTACAGCCAGCAGTAGTGCGGGCAAAAGAGTTTCCGCATGCACATGCGCTACCGACCCACCCCACTGATTTACACGAAGACGAGCGCCCCCAAGAAGAGTTATCCTAGAGCACAACCTGACGTGTGTCTTCCTCCTACTGCTGCTGCTGCTGCTATTGTTCTGTAACGTCGGGCGTGTTGTTTTCTCCGGCCTTGGTTCCCTCGTCCTTGCCTTGGATGACGACATGGACATGGACATGGACATGGACATGGCCAGGGCCTCAACGAGGAAAACAACAACCAGACGCATGCGCTAGTACCGTCCTTGCCGGCGTTGATGACGTTCCTCGAGGTAAGCGTGTCAGTCTAAGTGTACCAGGTGCATGTGAACACGTTTGTCTGTACGCTATGACTGGCATCGACCGCGCTAACGGGCTGACCAATCAAGGACGCCGCCACGTCTAAGTGCGGCTATAAAGTGCGTGTTTTGGTGTTTTTTGTTGTCTGTCTCATATTTCCATTATGGACGCCAGTGTTTGCCAGCGTTGATGTTCCTCGATGCAGGGTGTTGGTGTCATCGCAGAATCTAGTGTGGACGACATTTTTTCCCCTGTCTGTGTACGATAATCCGTAGATTTTGTGGGCCCTTTCACAGGGGTTGCGCAGGGAGAAAGCCACGCGAAAAAACGGGTGTGTGTGTGTGTATGTGTTTTGTTGTCCACTTTCGTTCCGCTGTGCCTGCGTCGTTGTTCTAATGGCGAGAAAGGTTGAATGCATAAGTGGCGTCATTGAGATTATCAATACTACTGGTGTTGTTTAGTGGGTTGGATTTAGGGACGGAGAAAAAACGCTGCCAGCATCAAGTTTCACGTTCCTGTGGCCTTCCAGGAATACCACACACGCGTCCCATGTATGCATCTATATCCAGCATCGAAAAGGAATCGACGATATCGCTTGCATTGCTGCACGTGATGCTCAACGCGGTGTCGGGCGAAAAAAAACCCGGCCGCTTGCGATTGTGTTGGGGCGGGGCGTATTCAAAGTCGCACCAGAAATTCTGTTTTGATTCTCTGGGGCAACCCACATGTGCACGACGTTTCTGACTCGCGCGTGATGAGGCGTGCTTTTTCGCCTCCCTCCATGTGTGTTGATTTCCTACTTCGTACCGCCGATCGTGATTGTCGTTCCCAACACCGGCATCCCCGACATTTTTTACCCTCATTTTTTGGGTTTTCTACACCACCTGTCCACCCTTGTTTCCGTTGTCTTGGCCGCACGTACAGCAACTGGCGGCCGACACCAACAAGGACGACGACGTCCTCAAGACAGCTATCGGGGTTGTCGGAGACCTCGCGCAAGGCCTGGGGGCGGCGCAGGCGCCCAACCTCCGTACCCCTGGAGTGCTTGCGTTGCTTCGAGTGAGTCGAGTGCTGTTTTTCGGGAGGGCGGAGGGCGGGGGGGGAAGGATGCGACAGATGGCTATTGATAGGATTCCACCACCTGTTGCCTGTTTTCTTCTTTTCATGTTTGACCTGTCCCACAAAAACACAAAAAGTATTTCAATTACTTGTTCGTATAATATATTATATTATATTATGTGATATTAAATTATATGCCCTACAGGCAGTCGTGGCTCCGATAGAAGAGTGTACGTTATAAGAGGTGGCTCCGATATAAGACGGTCGAAATGTCACGACTTGGACCCTCTCTAGCATATTGTAGTTGAGTACTCTCTTATTCCGGTACATGTAAGAGGTGGGTCCGATATAAGAGGGTCCGGGGCCTTTGTCACACCACCCTTTTATATCGGAGCCACGACTGTATATGTGTTTTTTTTACGATTTAGTGATCCGTTCCGGGCAACAGGTTTCAACGAGCTCTTTGTGTACCGGGTTCGGGTAAGTACTGTAAGGTAGACGGTGGCGCAGGCATCACTTGTTGATAAATTACCATTGGAACTACAAATATTGTGTTGTCAAAGAATGACAGCATGTGATGTGCTGTGCCGGGGTCCTCAGCCCCACGTGTTGCAAGCATAGCTCGGTCAGCCCGTTTCAAATGCCAGGTCGATATGCTGTCGGGCTAGGGTGTGTGCGGGACGAGCCACGTTTTCCCTCGGGTGCTGCAGTGCTCCCACGCCGTACCTGCGTCTTGACTGCATGAACAGCAGCGTCTGTTCACGCGCGACTTGCTGCCATGCGCTACAAAAGTACGGCTCTAGTGACGAAGGCCGTCTCTTCGACTCCACCTATCTCCTCCGATACTCGCTCTCTTATTGTGACTTTTTTGTGACCGGCCGGGCGTTTGGCGTGTGTTTGTTGTTTGTTGCGGCGTCTGCAGGAGGGACAGAGCACCGGCCACGACGAAGCTATCATCGCGCTGGCCAACTGGGCATCCGAGCAGGCGAGTCAACATACCGTATGTGCTACGGTACAGTGGGGGGGGGCTCAGCAGTGCCGGTTGACTATTGCCAATGCCCGGAATAGTGCCGGGTTTTTCGGCGGGCACAGAAGAGCCGGTCGCCCCGGTGGTCTAGTTGGTATCCTCGAAACCTCCTAGAGGTCAGGTCAGGGGTTCGAATCCCGGCGTAAGCGAGCTTTTCTTGCGAAGTGAGTTTTTCTCTCGCTTCCGCTCCTGGCCTATAGTTGATAGCGCTAGTTCGTGTGTACGCAAAGGGAAGAGGGTGCTGAACTCTTCTCGCATTAAAAATCGAAGGCAAAGTACCGCAGGAGGGGAGGGTAGAGAGGGGCTCTTCTGTGTGCCCACCGGTTGGATTAAACGGCACTAGTGCTGCGAGAGCTGATTTGAAGTGAAGAAGAAGAAAAAAAAACAGACGGAGTAGCCGAGCCATTCTGTACTATGGATAGGGCCGGTGGCTCTGATGCTGGTCTGGTCCATACCGGCATTTCTCCGGGGCCCCCACTCTATTGATGTGTGGTAGATATTCCCGCCGCCTGACGATTGCACCGCGTTTGACTGCTGTTGCACCGCCTTCTTGTACGTTTTGTTCTTATGTCCTTCCCAGCCGCACTGTCCTGCCACACTAACCCCCACCCCACCCTCGGCATGTACAATCTGCGTGGACGCCGGCTCATACGCAGGTCGGCCAACCTGGGGCATGACGGGGCCCCTTGCCAAGGTGGGCAGACGATGTGGGACCAGGAGGTACGCGCGCGGCCTGCCTGCCTTGCCGCGAGGTTATCGTGCCGTGAGTGTTGGGTGTTCTGCTAAGAGGGCACATGGCAAAGAGGGAGGGCATGAGTGGGGTGGACGAGTGTGACGCAGGATGCGTTTTTTTGCGGCAAATCACAGCAAGCGATATTGGGGCTTCTTTATGCCCCCCCCCCCCCCCCCCCACCCCC